CCTTGGCAGTCTCATCCAAATCTCACAATATCAGGTGAATGAACACACACATTAACCACCGTTCAGAAGTCTGCTGTATTTTGCAAACCAAGGTGTTAAGTTACACATTTATCCTCTGGGAGTTAGTTTCGTACCTGTTGGGCTGGTTATTCTGTAAGAGCCCGTCTTCCGTTTTAAATAAAAAAACAATAAAAAAGTGAACATGTGTTTTCGAAGCAGTTGTCTGAACATGCGTGGATATCATTTTGGTAGCAGACTAAATTTCAAATAATCCAGGCCTCATAAATCACGGTGCTGAATGTCTGACCTGGCAGCGCGCTCCACCTGACTGCTCAAATGTTCCCAGGATATTTTCCATTTGTACACAACACACCACGTTGCTGGGATACGTCTGACACTAGCAGGAATTGTTCATAGCGTGCATATGGATTTCATTCTGATTTAATAAAACTCCTCAGAGGCGTTTAAGTTTTTACCTGTACGACTTTGTTTATACAAAATATGTATGTGTTGTAACATGAGTCACATGATACAACAGATTGATCTGTAATAGAGAATTAATCAATATTCCCAGAGTCCATTATCAGCAGTCTATTATGTGTATTCTTTGCATGAGAGTGACCTATTTAAATAGGTTAGTTTTAAGCTGCTATAATCAATATGTTCACATTAGTAATAGGTCACATGGTTATACAGTATGTAATGGGTCACCTGAATGTTTGGATCATTGTTTTCAATGTGAGCACACCTTATTGTTTCCACATTAAACAAGTCAATCTTTGTTGAGTCAAGTGCCCCCAGTGTTGGAGAACCAGATGTGGGGTTAAACAAAGTCATTGCCTATATTTAAAAATCAATGAATAAACATTGTACACTACCCCTGGTGACATTTATATTAGCAGGACGGTTACGTATTGTAGTGTGGAATGAAAACGCAGCAGTTCAGCAACAGTGAGTCCATTGAGCTTTGTCCACATCCTGTTTGTGAGCCGGTGAGAGGTTCCCATGAAGGAAAGGTCGCTGTCATGTTTGGCTCCGAGCCAGTACAATCAGACGCTCCAAAACAATCAGAGGATTATGCAAACGGTATTCAGGGCAGGCGATTGTTCTGCTAATTTCCCATCTTTTTTAATGTTCCGCAGCTTAAAAACCTGAACCCTTTAAGAGAAAAAAAACCATTTTATTAGGACTCCTCAAACCATCTGCCTTTTGTGCACTGAGTAACAAACACTAGCCCTTTTTGATACATCAATAATGAGTAATTGTTTCTGAAAAGATCATTTAGCCTCTCAATCTCGACTCCCGCAGCTTTGGGTCTGTTTGAGTGTCAGACTCGAGAACCAAAGCCTCTTGGCGAACTTCCGTCAGTAATGTGATAATGACTGTCAGGATGAGGCATATGATGTAACGGCATATTTCAGAGCCGTTGCCGGGGTGGAAGCTGTCCAGCGCTGGTTTGGAGCAAGGCCAGGCGCTCCATCAGCGCATAGATCGAAGATTACCACATGTTCTATTTACATTAGTGCTGTCAAAGCTCGCCACACCTTCAGATGACAACTGCAAAGCATTTTCCAGACCTGCTGCAGTCGAATGAAGTGTGTGTGTGTGTGTGTGTGTGTGTGTGTGTGTGTGTGTGTGTGTGTGTGTGTGTGTGTGTGTGTGTGTGTGTGTGTGTGTGTGTGTGTTCAGATGCAGGGTGGGGCGCTGACAGGGGGCCTCAGCAGCAGCAGTTGTGTCCGGGGCCCTCGCTGCTCGCCAGGCTTTCAGCGAGCGGCAGGAACAGAGCAGCCATTGTTAGTCGGGGACGCTGAGCGCCTTGTGACCAGAGCTGCCACTCCCTTTGTGGACAGAGGAGACCCCGAGCTGAGGGGGTGACTACAGGGAGGAACGAGGGGGGGTGAGGGGCTCCTGGTGGGAGGCTGTGGAGGTAGCAGAACATGCACCCTCCTCTCCCACACAGACACAAGTGGCACAGCAAAAGGCATGGAAGATTGATTACACAGTCTGCGCTCTGATTGGCTCTCTCATGTGACAGCTCGAACACATGAGGGAGGGGGTGAGTGAGGGGGGGTGACGGCTCCTGTCTTCATTGTTGCCACAGTGAATACTTTATCCCTCACTTTCTTACTCAAGCAGAGCTGGAATTAGGAAATTAAAGCAGTGATGCTGTGGAAGCTCTCTGAACAAAAGCACCAACACTTTTAATCTAGATTTAAACTAATCTGTTCAATAATAAGTCACAATAGTGTAACTATCAAATTAGATAACATTAACAATAAGTGAATGGTGGTACATTTCATTACTCAAGTGATTGGATAAAACTTTGGAACTATGCTAGAGAAATTAAAATACAGGAATGGTCATGTAAGGAATTTACATTTTTCATTTGAGTTATTTAGGCAGGAGGACCAAATGATTTATGATTACTTTATTTAAGAGTATGTTTTTTGTTTAACACTAAAAAAGGTATTTCTTATCTTTGATGAAATAAAAAAAAAGTTTCTTAACAGTGATAGATTAAGGGATTTCAGTTTTATTTAAGAGTTAAGGATATTTGGATTATCTTTTATATACATCATGAATCACAATTATTGTGACAAGGATGTTCTTGACACAAATTCCCTTGCAGATTCTGTAACTTCCGTAACCATCCACTTAACATTAAATTCAAAAACGTTACATCACAAAGTGCAAACATTTCAATTGTATCTATTTATTAGATAAAAGAGTCCATAGTATTGAGATGTGTTAGACTGCTCCTAAATCGGTTCACTTCATTGTGATTTACTGTGGATTTGCTCAGTAGATTCAGACACTTGTCCTGCTTTGGACCCAACAAATAAAAAGGAAAAAAAAAGACTGCCAGGCTGATCAAACGCCAGACTCCCACCCCAGGTCTTATTCCATCCCTCTGCATCTTTTCTTTAATCCCTCCCTCACATTATGTGTGTGTGTGTGTGTGTGTGTGTGGAGAAACCCAGTATCAGTTGAAAGCAATGTGTTCCTTATCAGAAAGCATCCTAAAAAGACCAAGCGGAGGCTGCTGAGTAAAATCCGGCAGGTTTCATCTATTTATTTTTCATTGCGAGACCAATCATCCCTTTTTATATGACGTTTCCCTTAATGCCTTTCCTCAAATGCACTTAATCCAGCATCCGATCCAGCCAAATCGGTTACTCGGCTTTATAAGTGTATTTTTATAGGATTCTATAAAACCCCATCCTGCCATCAAATATTTTTCACAAAAAGTTCCCACAACCATATATTTTTCTCTCATGATTTATTTAATTTAGTTAAATGTGCAGCAACTAATCCTCTTTATTGTTTTGCAGAGCGATCGTCTCCTGATCAAAGGAGGGAAGATCGTGAACGATGACCAGTCCTTCTGTGCTGACATCTACATGGAGGATGGAGTCATCAAGTGAGTGTACTGCTTTATTCAAGTCGCATCCTAGTTCAATCATAATTCAAACGTTATGATTGATCCACATGTATGACGTGGTTCAAAAGTTGTATGGAAGCCCTTAAATGCCAGTGAGAAAAATAAAATCTGGTGACGCATTTTATAAGTCGGGTCTAAATAGTCTTTCTTTGTTTATGACTAAAGATCAGATGAGGTTTTGCCAGTATAATCTTTCCAAGTAATTTGTTCCCCCTATCTATGAAACATGTAGTCTCCAGCCTCTTGTGGCAAAAATGTGTATTACGACAACAAACACTTTAAAAATGATCCTAAAAAAACAATTATTATTTTGTAAATTTTTTTTTTTTTTTTTTTTACACGTTTCCATCTCTTCCCTAAAAATGATCCATGAATTCAATATTCTATAATACAGTCATATTTTACATTTGTCCTTTATTGATTTATATAAATAAACTTACCTATTGCTGAATTAGATTTTGTCTTTTTATTAATGCAGGTGAAGAATTTAAAAGCCTTGTCCAAGTTGTGATTTGTGTCAATCAAATTGTGACGTTTTTTTTCCCTTTTTAGACAAATTGGGGAAAACCTCATTGTGCCCGGCGGGGTGAAAACCATCGACGCCCACGGCCGCATGTTGATGCCGGGCGGCATCGATGTGCACACGCGCTTCCAGATGCCGGATCGAGGCATGGTGTCAGCCGATGACTTCTACCAGGGCACCAAGGCTGCTCTGGCCGGAGGAACCACCATGATCAGTGAGTTATCAGAAAGATCCTACTGATGGAACATTAAAACCTTCTGCCTTACTAGGAATACTTAAAGCATACGGCAACTTGACAATGGTGGGATTTATTTATTTATTTTGGAGTACGATCTCAGCTTTTATAGTCTATATTAAACTGTGTGAGGCAAGGCAAGTTTATTTATATAGCACCGTTCAATACAAGGCAATTCAAAGTGCCTAACAAAAAGGAAAGACATTAAGAAAATGGCATTTAAAAGGAGTTAAAAAAATACATGAATAAAAGTTACAGTGCAGTTTAAGATATGAATAGTTCAATTAAAGCCAAAAGCCAACAGTACAGACAGCTAGGGCGTTCAGGACAAACGATTCCCCATTGAAACGCATCAAAGCCACCATTTCTGATCAGACAGCCATTACAGCATAAAAACAAGCTTTCTGTTATATCTGGCTTTCAATCTAAAGCCCTGCCTTCAAAATTGTAGGTTTATAATACTATTTCCCACTAGATTGAGACATTTTCTCACGTATTTGCCCAATAACCAGGTTTGCTTCAGAAGAAATGAATGTTCCCCTTAAAAACACAGTGGCAGCAAAGTTCTGAAAATGAATAATATTTGGTTATAATCAGGACCGAAGTCAGTTACAATTATTAACTTTGTGAAAGTGGAAAAAAATAACAATACTGTATATAACATTTCTATATCACAGGGTGTCCGCGGGGTCTTAAAAAGTATTAAAAGTTGATAAATCAATTTCGCGAAAATGAAGGCTATTAAAAAGTATTAAACGGCATTTTCCATGATATTACATTTTGTAGCTTGTTTCCAATAAGTATATAAATTGTCCAAAGAGGTTGTATTCTAAAGTCTGCCTGAATGTAATCATTGCGTAGGTGTGTAGTGTGATTCTGTGTAGTTTATTTATGGCATCCCGTTGGATTTGACGTCATCTGAACAGGACATTGCACGCTCTCTGCTTGATACCGCGCGAAGCTCCGTTTACGCCAGTTGCTAAACAACGTCGTTATGGGGAAATGCAATTCTGCGTCCAAATGGTTGGAAGATAAGGAGGAAGGACAATCAATACTGTATATAGTCAATGTGAGGTAAAGTGTGTCGCCAAGGTAACCGGTTAAAACTCAAAGTGGCGATGAGGTCTTAAAATGTATGGAAAGGGTTTTAAAAAAGGTCTTAAAAGGTATTACATTTGACTTCAGGATTCCTGCATATACCCTGTATCAGTACTTCCACAGGAATTTCTGTCAAGGGTTATTTCATCAGCTTGTTTGGAGTCTTTCTGTGAGTGATTCACCGAGGCTGACTGCTCCTTGATTCTCTGATTGGCTTTAATTACAAATATTTAAATGAGAACAGGACTGGTGCCAGGTCTGTTATTGACCGGGCCAACATTTAAAACCGTCCATCTGCTCTGAGACTGACTTCTGTTCACACTCAGACAGGAAGTCAGTTCATTTCCCCTTTGACCCATAGATACTATCAGCCTGACACTCTTTATTTAAACAACCTGTATGTATTTATATCCTTCATAAATGTTATGCTTCATGTTTTTTGGGGTTGTAATCTAGTTTGCATGACGTTTTGTGATTGTGCCATTGTTTCTAAAATAATACAATAATTAAGAAGCCGGGAAACGTTTTATCATAACATTTCAGAGATAAGAGATGGTGTTTTGTTGAGTTTTTATTTGATTTGTTTCTCGCAAATATACGACTTTATATTATGAGAGTGTATATATATTTTTGTAAATTGACAACTTTAAACTTGAATGTTTTCATCTTCGAATATAACCCCCCTTCCCTCGGCTCTGTTTTTACAACAAAAAATAATATTACAATGCCATAGTTATTAGTTATTGTTTAGAGTTAACTAGCATAGTTGTTTAAACTGGTGACCTGCTCATGTATTCTTCCTTTGAGGTTTTCTACTTAATACTTATATCCTTATTTATGCAACTATGTGAATATTGAGATCAATTGTTAGGTTATTTAAGACTTAAAAGTGTACCACCCTATATAGATTTGGTATACATTGAATACATACGTTGATTCCATGAGGAGATTTGTCAGTACATGTTGTCTATATACTATACTACCCAAACTAGCGGTTTGAGTTCCTGTGTACGTTGTTTTAATAGGACAGAGGACTGTATAGACAACACATTTAAATGAAGCTCGGCCCTCCTCTGTGCTGACTCAGCAAATTAACCCTCCCTCTCAGTAAAACAAACTCTCCCAGGCTCTCGTGTGTCATTGCCACCTCAGAGCGCAAACGCTGACTGCTGCAGGATCAGGTCTGCAACACGGCCGTAACGCATGGCCGAACGGGACTGCACCAAAAACACAAAGAGGGTCAAAGTGAGCGTTTGGAAATGTCCTCTGAGAGATGAGATGGAGACAAACGTTTAACATGTAGACGGACAGATGTGTTTAAAATCAAACATTAAGATTACACTCCTTGATGTTCTGTGTGGTCCAGACTTTAACCCTCCTCTGAACCCCGAGGAGTTTCAGGGCGTTTCCTCCTCCAGTCACATTATACTCTGCAGCCTCGTTTGTCACTGCAGTAAATGAGTCCTGCACCGCCTGTAAAACTGCACAATCATGGCTATAAGAAGGAGAATACATTGCTATGGTGCAGTATTACATCGTTTAATGCTCTAAAAGGTTTCATATTACAATAATTGGACAAAAAAGAAACGGACTCCACAGGCTTTAACTATTGACATTTCTACACCCTTTACTTCAAACCTCTCTTGTCTTCTTTGATCCGTTTTTCTCTTATTTTCTTGTGACTATTGGATTTAATGTCTTTTGGTGAAAGATTAAGCACTGTTTTCTTAAATTAGCCTGGGAAACATGAAGCATAAACATAAAAGGAAATATTCTTTATCCGCAAGGTCAACCATGAGCTCATTATCATATTTACAGAATCTTTTTAATGCATCCCGTTTATTTTTGCTGCCATTTTCAATGGGACAGGTACAATACATTTCTTTGGATGAAATTGTACTTTTTTTAGCTAAGATTTGGTTGTATTTCCTGAAGCCAGGCTTTATTACAGATGATTAATTTAAGGACTGAATTGTAAAATATGCAAATAATTGATGTCTTTGCAGTTTCTGACTCAGATGAATGTTGTGATTTCAGATTTTGTTTTAAGAAAACATGCTTGTCAAACCTCATGTGGATTTTGGGTTTCAATTAATCCAAATTCCGTCTAAACTCAAGAAATCTGATGTGAGCCGTCAGTCTGAACATATATTCAAAGTAGTTTCACAAAAAAGGAAGCTAGAAGCTCTTGGGACCACATAGCATAACTTGACTTATCTCTGGAATGATTAACTGACAAGTTTACTAATAAAGAAAATACACTTTTACAATTGATTGATCAATACTGACTGGTTCTGGCTGCTTAGCATGAGGATTGGCTAGGAAATTGAATATATTTCCATTCTTTTATCTACCGCAATCTTTAGAAATGTCGAGACATGGTCTAGGAAATTCTGATGTTTACTATGAACTACTTTTTTGAAGTGTTACAGACTAAAGTAGTAAGTAATTAATTTGACAGGTTGACAATGAAATTGGGTACAAATATTTGGGATTTCTATCCCCAATGTAGAAAAGCACATAGTTTCCAGGCCTACTGAAGGACCAAACATCAGCAGATTACATTCACTGAAAAGTAGCTTCTTCAAAAATAGCATCTTGAGATCATATAGTTGTTCTCTGTGTGGTGGAAACCATGAGCAGATGGAGCAGATTATGGTTTGTAAAGACAGGAGTCATGGATCTGGTAATCCTCGAGGATTAATATCAAGGGTAATTTGAGAATAATCAGGAACATATCTGACCATCAGGTGTCAACTTTAATTTGTCTCTGTTTGGTTCGAAGATTCATTGCAACCTAAATTCAGTTGCTGTCTGGAGAGTGATTAGTGAGCAGTACATGAACACAATGTTAGTTTAGTTCTCCACTGGTGAGTAACATACAGCTTTTTAAAGAGTTACAAGAGAGCGATTTTCTAACACATACATGTTGTAAAAAACCCCATGGACCAGATACCCGCCATAAAACACTGAGACACACAAGACACAAGATGTTTACACTGAAGGGGATCTGAAAGAGGTGACCTTATAATCCCAGGGCAGTTTGTGTTTCTTCCCAAGGACCCTTATCTTGCAGTGGTATAAAACACTTTGTCCGAAACTTTAAAACAGATGTCTAATAAGGCAAACAACACTTAATGATTACATTTCTTTAAGGTCATCTGTTGTGCAAAATCCACTTTTTCATGTCTTTTATACATAAACATGTGTCCCCTCTGCGTAAAGAGATTCTGAAAGTTTCAGGAAAAAAGATTCTCTCACTTTGTGTCCTGATCCATTTCTATAAAAACCTGTCTGAAAATGAGCTGATCAGATTTTGGCCACTTTATGATGTCATAACGATTACATTACATTGCATTTAGCTGACGCTTTTATCCAAAGCGACTTACAATAAGTGCGTTCGACCAACAAAGTACAAACTTCAAGAAAACAGAATCATATAAGTACATCAGGTTTCATAGAGCTAAAACATTTCAAGTGCTACTCAACTGGCTTTAGATAAGCCAGTCCTTTATTAGTATACAAGTGCTTTGTTAATAGTTCTATCGCTCGAAGTGGAGTGGAAAGAGATTAGCCAATCACCAACCAAGGTAACGCCCCCCCCCACCTTATCGCCTGAATCTCCCCCTAGAGCACCATTGTGTTCTTTTTAACCACATATCTCTCAGAGGGGCGTGGGGAGGGGCTCCTTATTTTCATCTAAAGTAACAGACAGAGAATCAGCACTTTTGAAACAGGGCTGAAACAGAGGGGATTATGGGATGCTACAATGCATGATCTGTTTGGCTCAATCAGTGTGTGTGTGTGTGTGTGTGTGTGTGTGTGTGTGTGTGTGTGTGTGTGTGTGTGTGTGTGTGTGTGTGTGTGTGTGTGTGTGTGTGTGTGTCCGTCCAGTTGACCACGTGCTTCCTGAGCCCGGCGTCAGCCTCCTCTCGGCCTTCGAGCAGTGGCGCGAATGGGCCGACAGCAAGTCCTGCTGCGACTACTCGCTGCACGTCGACATCACCGAGTGGCACAAGGGCATCCAGGAGGACATGGAGACGCTCGTGAAGGACCACGGTACTCTTCGAACACTTTCACACTGCTTTTATCTTCCCTTTCGTGGTTTTCACACTGATGTCCTGTGTCTGTAGGTGTCAACTCTTTTCTGGTCTACCTGGCTTATAAGGATGTTTTCCAGCTATCTGACTCTCAGGTAGGGACCTCTCCTCTTTTCATTGTCACAAACAAAAAACTTTAAATGCATTTTCTCACTCGGGTCCAGGGCTTTTAGATAATGCTTGGCGTGTTGTGGCTCGTTCACATTGACACTGTTTTGCCTACACTTAATCTAATTAAACTGAGACTTTAACATGGGACTTTCTGCTGCGGCACATGAAGACAAATATGATCCATATTAATTTCTAGTCGGTATAATGGACCTCATTGTAACATGACATATGGAATCCACAAAGAAAGATGGTGCTGTTGACTGTAGAAGCATTTTTGCACTAACCAGAAAACAACTAAATCATAACTTGTTTACTGTCGCTGTCATTCAGAATAATTACAGGACCATCTTTTTAAAATATTTTTTCAGTCAGTCTGCTGGGATGTTGTCTTGTTGGAATGAGTCAAAAAAGCAGATGTAGAGATTAGCTTAGATTTTGGCTCTTCATTTCGTACCGACTGTGTGTGTGTTTATCCAGGGAGAGTGAATGGATAATGAAAAATACATCTCTGTCCAAGTGTCTTCCTGACTCTTTTTGCACCTGTGTGAGGAGAAAAGAGATTATCAGTTCTACTTTCTCGCGTCAAACTCTGGCAGCTCTTTATTGTTAAGCGTCAGGAGGTGATGACTCACTCAACTCGTCAGTTTCCCTACAGTCCCTGAAGTTATCGCATGGTTTGATAAACAATCAGAGAGAGAGAGAGAGAGAGAGAGAGAAACATACTTTGCAGAGATCAGTGTCGAATTTCCGTTTCACCATGAAAGCATACTTTCCCTCGAAACCTCAAATGTCAGACTCACATCGGCATCCCAAACATGGCTAAAAATAGGAATACACAACAACAACAAAAAGAAAAACTGTCAGAACTCTATCGAAGCTCTGGGAAGCAAGTGAGACATTCTTTTTCCTCTGAACCCCTTTTCTAAGTTTAATCCAAATAGTTTTCTCTCCTGTGTGTCTATGACTTGAAAAGCACTTTGATAATGATACTGACAAGAACAAAAAGAAAAACATTGTCAGAACCCTGTTTAACAGATGAAAAGTGTTTTTTCAAAGACCCCTTCAGCACTAAAGGAAGAAAAATATATTCTGTATTTATTCTTTAGAAAACACACTGATAGAAATGTTATTGAAAGAAACAAAGATGGGGGAAACAATCCTCAAAACAACATATGATATGCTTTCTCTACACCACCTAGTCAATCAATACTTAGGATGAGTTTACACAGAAATGTTGAAACATATGTGCCATGGGAAGTTCAAAATAAAGGTGTCCCATTTTAAGAAATATGTAATCTGTCAATGTTTCACTTTTCATGAATGATATTGGGTTGTTGCTATTTGAAACTCCTAGATGACATACTGTCGAGAGAAGACTGTATACATGTGTGTTGACAACCACAAGTTGCTTTCATGCATCAGATCATAAGTGTGTCTCCCTCTCTTCGCTGCAGGTGTACGAGGTGTTCAGTGTGATCCGAGATCTGGGAGCCATCGCCCAGGTGCACGCTGAGAATGGAGACATTGTAGCTGAGGTACGACATTTCACTTCATAAGAGCGGGGATCTGGACCAAGGATGTTTTAAGAGAACCGGATTAAGTGTTGATTTCTGTTAAAGTTACTCAGTGGCACAATAAACCAAAGTGCTCTGACTCAAGTACAAAACTACCTTGATTTGGACCCATAAACATGCATACTTTGTTTTCTTTAAGCTCTAGTTGACTTAACACTTCGGTTCTCAGCTGTAGTTAAATGAATAAAGAGGAAAAAATAAGTCTTGATTCTGCTTTCAGTGCATTTCACATCTCACAAGGACCCAACCCTAAGGGCTATTCAAGTGTTGAACTGGGTAGTTGGATTAGCTGTGAACAAGTTATCTGCTCATTTACAGACGTCTCTTTCCCAATGTTAATCAATGGGGGGGGGAAAGTATTTTTGGGCCCTATGATGTCATGAGATTAACACAGCGGTAGCACCACTGTTTGGCGATTATGAAAAAATGACTTCAGCGCCTTTTCACTTCCTGATGAATTGATCTAGACATGAATACATCATGGCATTAAGTCAACCAATGAAGTCTTAGGCTTTAAGTGTTGATGCATGCACATTGACAGGACTCAATATCTCCCGTTTCCAGGCTGATTTGTTTGTTTGTGTTTAGGAGCAGCAGAAGATCCTGGAGCAGGGGATCACTGGGCCTGAGGGACACGTGCTGAGCCGCCCTGAGGAGGTAAGACAGGTTCAGCTCTGTGGACACTGACCACCGACCTCAATCTGGTGTGACTTTGGGAAGTGAGAAATCAATTAATCTCTTGAGTCCTTTCCCCGCTTCGAAGGGTATTTGACCTCTCCAAGCTTCCCAGCTGTTGGCCTTACGTTGTTTGACAGTTTTACACTGACGCATGGGTTTCTCGCTGCCTTGGCAAATACTTAAACATCCACTTCATATCCACCTCCATATATTTAACTTGAAAATTCCTGTTGGGAGCACAGAGGCATTACAGTTAAGAGCACATCCTTTCCATGCATCATGGTTGTTACCCATGAACATTCAAACGGTGGAACAAAGTAGTGATTGAAATATGAAGTGTGACTTATGGCAGCTGGGTTTAATGATTGAACTGTCAGTCTTCTTCTAAAGGAAGGTTTTCTTCAAATAAAATAAATTGCATGTATTGTCCTCTGTTGATATAACATGCTTTCACTTAAGTAAAGTAATAAAGGGTTTCTCACCACCCTACAGGAAGTTGCCATGACTGAGCCATTCCTGCTTAGGTTAATCAAATCTTGATTGTAACCCAAGCTGTTATTTTACGGATTTAATAATTGTTATTAGCAAAGTTGGTGGTTGGGCAAAAAAGACCACCAAAAATATGTAATACAGTAAGATCCAAAAGAAGAGTGTTCTTACTTCTTGGAACGCTTTGTGTGTCATAGAAATATCACCATCCTGCCATCTCACTTGTCAAAATAAATTGCCAGGATTGTCTTAAGTGTTTTACCTTGTTTTTGTTGCTATGGATGAAAATCAGATTTTAAAGCATCAACACACTTGATTGAATATGTTAAAAAATAGCTTTCTTCGCTTTCTTGCCGTGTCATTAGGCTACCATGAATATAAAGATCATGTCAGGAGCTGGTTAGCTTAGCTTAGCACAAAGATTGGGGTTGGGGGGGACAGCTAGCATGACTGTCCAAAGCTCAATGGACTACATAACATATTATCCCCTCTTTTTCAGTACATACAAAGAACAAAGTGCGGAACAAGTCAAAATGATGAACCCTCAGTCCCTTCCTTTAGCTGTTTTCAGTCGTTAAGCTAGGCTAGGCTAACCAGCTGTTTCATAAATGGTGTACAGATGAGTGGTGTTCATTTTCTTTCTTTTTAATCTCTTGGCAAATAGCTAATGTCTACCCAAAATGATTACATTTTCAATATAATTCTGGATATACTCACTTAAGAATGTTGTCCAAAGGCTGTTTACGAAGTTCATGTTGGCCAGTTTTTCAACTCACTTTGATCGACACTTTATCTGTGTATTGGTCTTGTGTTTAATTCCTAAGAAAGTCTGAAGTATTGTTTATACAAAAAAACACCCCGAATGTTTTAAAGTTGGAATTGATGAATTTTCCATAGGACTGGGGAAACCGTAAGAGCTGTGGAGGTAATATTTGTAGGGAAATGATGGAGATGTGGTGGTCAGAATTGAATAAAAAAGTATGCAAGTGGAATATCAAACTAATATCATCCCTCCACTTTCTGTTGTCCCCTCTCTTGTGCAGGTGGAGGCGGAGGCTGTGAACCGCTCTGTGACGGTGGCCAATCAGACCAACTGCCCTCTCTACATTACCAAGGTGATGAGCAAGAGCGCTGCTGATGTCATCGCCCAGGCCAGGAAGAAGGGTGAGACTCAAAATACACAAATCAAATCCATCATTTCCTGCAATATGTCACCATTTAAATGGGATAGATCAGATTTCAGAAGATACCTACCTTGTTTGTGTTATAGTCGAAAAGAAAGTCACCTAAATATCACATTTGGTATGCTAAATTAAGAAAAGTTCATGTAAGAAAAACGTATAAGATGCATTTTTTAATGTGTATTTTGGTTCCATACCCATCCCGCAGCATGGGTGTCTCAAACAACCATACCTAAAAAAAAAAAATCAAAATAGCCTATTAATGTCTCTTTTCCAAACCTAGAAACCAAAGAGATGAGCCCTAAAACAAATCCTCAATCTACCCCACTAACACTGACATAAACACTTCATTTGTGGGTTTCCACTATTCAATCTTAGGTTTTGGACTAGGAACTCCTGAAATAACTTGAAATTTAAAGTGTATTCATGCGGTGTATCTGCCAAACAGAGACATCAAAACAGACACTCACACATTTTAGGAGTGTAGTAACTGGTGTTACATTTGGGATTGTTATTGCAGGCACTGTGGTCTACGGAGAGCCAATCACTGCGAGCCTGGGAACAGACGGCTCTCACTACTGGAGCAAGAACTGGGCCAAGGCAGCGGCCTATGTCACCTCCCCCCCCCTGAGCCCCGACCCCACCACACCAGACTATCTCAACTCCCTGCTGTCCTGGTGAGGGAGGATCCAAACAGGGAGAAATATCCTAATGACAAATTGGACTTTGTGTGACAACTTAACTTTCTCTTTCAGTGGTGACCTGCAGGTGACAGGAAGTGCGCACTGTCCCTTTAACACGGCCCAGCGTGCTGTGGGCAAAGACGACTTCAGCTTGATCCCTGAAGGCGTCAATGGTACTGAGGAGAGGATGTCTATCATCTGGGACAAGTGTGTGGTACGTATTTTTATACAATTTTTTTAAATGAAGCCCATAGTAGGGCTGTTTCTAATGCTGTTCAAAAAAATATCTGAAGCTTTTATTGAGGTTTTTGAATCAAGCTTTGAACATTTGCTGTCATATTTTATCATGTCATCACAATTGTTGAACAAAATCCTCAATTTAAATAAAGCTAATCATCCAATCAAGTACATTTTTTCAGCTTTCTTTAATTCCTACAAGTCATAATTGCCTCCTTTTTTAAGCAGCAAGCATGAAAGCAGTACATTGATTGACCACACTAAACAATATTGTTTTTGAAAGGCCAAACAACAACAAATATTGGTTCAAGCAGTCTATCTGTTTTTTCAAATGCATGTTGTGAATTTCATTAAATGTTGATTTTTGGACTTTAAAGGGCTCTGGAATTTTAAGAAATGTCTGCATCGTCTGTAACAAATTTCACCCAGCATCTCTGAAATGTAATTCTACAAATGGTATAACAAAAATATTTGTGTTGCCTAATCTTCTTGTAAAAAATATGCAGAAAAATGCAAATACACAACATGCAAAAAAGGAGCAAGAAATATAGATACCATACCATATATGTAACGACAATATCAAACCAATCAAATAGTTCATCTTTTGCAAAATCAAATGATTAGATTTAAAATAACCAAAAAGATATAGTTATGCTATTCACATTTGCATGTTGTCTAACTCATTAGCATTTCGCCTTTATTAAATTCTAACAGTAGAGCAATTTGACAACACACATGCATCGGCAGCATGACACAGGCAAGAGGGGAAAACATCGCAACAACCATGCACACAAAAAAATGCATTTCATAACACACATAAGCAAATGACTGTAACTGAAGTACTGAGCAAGAATGATTTGAATAAACATGTGAAAAAAGTTATGGCACGGAGTAGATCAGATCTGACAGGACTAAATGAAAGTGGGACAGTGGTTCCTATACTGTTCTCACTCCCAGTTCTGATTGATTCCAGGTGACGGGTAAGATGGACGAGAACCAGTTTGTGTCGGTGACCAGCACCAACGCAGCCAAGATCTTCAACATGTACCCCCGCAAGGGCCGCATCGCCGTGGGCTCAGACGCCGACCTGGTGCTGTGGGACCCCGACGTCACCAAGATCATCTCTGCCAAGAGCCACAACTCGGTACCAGCCTCTCTCAGAGTTTCATGACTAATAATATTTACACATGCTGAGGCCACCTGACGTCAAATATTGAAGCCACGTGTGTGTTTGTTATGTGGTTTCTGCCGACAGGGCTTTTTTTTGATAAGTCCAGAGTCAGACATTTTGACATTCTCAAAATAGTGGATTCTTTTAAATGCTTTTCAGGTTACTGGTGTTTTACATGAGTGAGTAGCTGAAAATAATACAACTCATTTTGACTTATCCACAAGGTACAATACATATATGAATACTTTTGATGGAAACGTAACTCCAAAAGTTTAAAAATTACCAAGCAGGTTAGTGATTGTCAATGATATACATCCTTGATTCGTACAAAAACATTTATTTAGTTTCAAAATAAATAAATACTTTTTTTGAATATTTGATTGATTATTAGAATCCAGCTAATATTATTCAGGACCATCAGAGCCACTGATTTATTTGTGCACTTTTGGTTGTGTCCACGTCTGACCATTGAACAGGGTGTGGGCCTCACACAGCGTCAAGGGAGTGATGTCATGCTTAAGATCTGCCAGGGAACTTGAACACATCGTTTCTGATTGTTAGCAGGCGGATTAGATTTTTGTGTGTGTGTGTGTGTGTGTGTGTGTGTCACAGAGACTATTACTGTGTATGTCCTCGGACTCCGTTTGCTTAAGCCCATGTTCTTTAGTTTCTTTTGATTCCGCTTGGTCAGAAAATTGACCAATGTTCAAGGGAGAAACTGCTCATTTTAAATGTGTGTGTGTGTGTCACAGGATAGCCCAGCCTTCTGGTGATCTCATTTCAGACTCCACCAGCTTGCCATGACCTCAGCTCCAGTAGCTTTTAGGAAAGAGCATTCATACAGCGTCCAAATTCGTCACACAGCAACCTCCCCTCCCTCCCTGTCCACACACAGCCAAACAGCCAAACAGCCAAACCCCTCACAGGACCCTCTCCTTCATCTCCTTCCTCTTCCTCCTCTGGCCCTGAGTACTGAGGTCTGTTTACCACATCAGGCGTTTTATTTTTGCCTAGCGAATCGCTTTCATCTCTGTTCGAGTTGAATCAGTTAAGCTCCTTTCACAAGTGCACTGTAATCCATCGACATTCTGCCAATGTTGAACGGTGGCGTGCATCATCTGTGAACACACAGGCTGGAAAGTGCATCAATATTTCTGTGGCAAGTTTCCAGAGGAAGTCTGAGGGAGATTTTTGGATAAAGCTGTGAATGAAAGCAGCAACTTTCCCAGATACAGAAAGTGAAATCTTTATGATGATGATGGGAAATCAGCTGGAGATGAATCAGCTTAAAATGTGTTTCTGTGAGGATTTATCTTCATTAGTAGTTTGAAGTACAAGCAGCTGGGATAAAAAGGATTTACCTAAATTCAATAGAAGATTACTTGTAACAGGGTTATTGCCAATACTATTTTCTTACTTTTTTGGATAACTTACAACCTAATACCATATTGCTTTTCGAGTTATTGTTCCAACTTTAGGGGGATACATGTGACATTTCTACTAAACTAATTTTTCCGATTATTCCAGCACCACATGAACCCAGCATCCAGTTATCATTTGGAGACTGAAATCTTAAAGGTGTACTTGAGATAACAACAAACCCACACAAACTGAATTTACCCACTTTCATCAAAAACTAATGTCAAGGATAGTGGATTCATTATGTACTGAACTGTCTTTGTGTATGTAATGTGTTATATTGAGATGTTCACACTTCATTTTTGCACACTTTATCTATGTTTTCCCTTCTCTGCAGACTGTGGAGTACAACATCTTTGAGGGCACGGAGGTGCGCGGCGGGCCTCTGGTGGTGATCAGCCAGGGGAAGATCGTGTTGGAGGAAGGGAACCTCCACACCATCGAGGGCTCGGGACGCTTCGTGGTCCGCAAGCCTTTCCCCGACTACGTCTACAAGAGGATAAAGGCTCGCAGCAGGGTACCATACTAGTTTTCTCTAACATAAACTAGAGTTAGATAGGAGGCAAAACTCCACACCCAGCAATTTCGAAGGATTAATCATTTTTAGGATTTTGGGGGATGAAGCAGCTTTTTAGAGATATTTCTTGTTTATTCTCACTGCCATGAATGTTGTTTCCTTTTTTGCATCCAGCTTGCGGAGCTGAGGGGTGTACCCAGAGGTCTGTATGATGGCCCAGTCTGCGAGGTGTCCGTCACCCCCAAAACCATGACCCCTGCCTCCTCCGCCAAGAACTCGCCGGCCAAGCAGCCCAGCCAGCCCGTCCGTAACCTGCACCAGTCTGGGTTCAGCCTCTCCGGTCAGTTCTGATCAGCTAATTTATTGTGAATGTATGATTTTTATTTTTTTTTCCCCAATCAATCTACCACTTTGATCTACATTTATTTTCTTGATAAAAACTAACTGTTATCTTGAATATTCTAAGTTATTTGCTTATAATATAACCCCCCCACCGACAAAAATAGTTTTTGGCTTTTTGCTTTAAACTCTTTAAATACATGGCTAATTAACCACAGTTTGCAATTAATGTCTGTTATGTTGGTTCAATTGAAAAGACAAAAGGGAATAACAAACTTCTATTTTGCACTCATCTACCTACAGTCGTAAAATGATTACATTACACAGCCTGATATCCCAAGCATTAGAGCAAGTGCACTTCTGTACTTTTGAATAGTGCTGCTTATTGGTACCATGAACATCTATGAAGTGAGCTAAGGACACCGTTCAGCATCTATTTTTTGCACATGGAAACGTAAAGGGCTCCACCACACCAGCATTCAGGAGAGAGAACATTGAACCAAATCCAATCCATCTGAGTCACTGCAACCTATTGGATTCTCTCATGGCATGGTTACATGAAATCCATAGAGTTCAACTAAGGTAAACTCTGTAATCACATTATTGAACTCCAGCTAATTTCCATCACTTTTTTCCCCCTGACCCTGCCTGCTTGGCGGTGCAATTCAGCAATCTTACCTTATCAGTACTCAAACACTAGTGTATATTGTAAAATACATGTTGTAATTAAATAAGCGCATTTGAGTTTGAACAATATTTATTCAATTTCCTATTATTTTATCTTTTAATCGAAAATGTACCTCTTATGTTCGTTTAAATATTGCACATAAACATCTCCCTTCCTGTGTTCATATAAATATTTTCAATATATTTTGTATTTATTTTCAAATGGAGCAAGTTTCTCGCAGGATAAAAAAAAGTACTGATTTCTGATAGACATTAGTTTAGTTAAACACAGTGCAGAAGTGAATCAATGCATGGAATACATTTCCCCACCACTTATGATATCCCTGATCCTTATTTTATGTCTGACCTAAATCATTTTTCTCTCCTTTTTTTGAGTTAAAAAACAGATGCAAAAAAATATACACACCATGTTTTAAATACTGTAGGTCTTAGGTTTATATTAAACTTTGTTACATGTATACATGCAGGTAAATATTACCTATTATTAAAGGTGTATGGAGAAATTAACCTGGATTCACATGTAAGTAAACGGGTTATAATTGCTCTAAAAGTGATCCTGACAAAAAAATATCACCTGATAAAGCACATTACCTTACCTACCTTACTTCATATAATTAAATAAAAACACTTGAGAAGGTTATCCTGGAGAAAATAAATAACAAAAAAGAGATGCTATTTATTTTTTCGTACATGCCCCTTGGGGCTTCCGTAGGTTTGACCAAGTCCAGTGAACCAGTCGTAAAATGTATGGAATTCCCCACATACAATTTTAAAGGTCACCTATTATGCTAAGTCCACTTATGTGTTTTGTTTATACATAACCATGTGTCCCCTCTGTGTAAAGAGATTCTGAAAGTTTCAGGAAAAAAGATTCTCTCACTTTTTGTCCTGATCCATTTATATAAAAACCTGTCTGAAAATGCACTGATCAGATTTTGGACACTTTATGATGTCATAACGATTTTTTGGCTTGTGTAACCATTAGCCAATCACCAACCAAGGTAACCCCCCCCCCTGATCTGTTTGGTATTTCGAGCCAAACACTTCAGAGACATGTTTTGTATATATCTGAGACCTATAATATATCGATGAAAAACAGTATGATAAGAGACCTTTTAAACAACCAAGTAAAAACACAACTTTGAATACCCATCTTTCCTCTTGATCTCACAGGCGCTCAGATGGACGACAACATTCCTCGCCGGAACACCCAACGCACCTTGGCCCCCCCTGGCGGCAGGGCCAACATCACCAGCCTGGGTTAGGGGTCCGCCCTCGGCCACTTAGGAGGAAACAAAGACCGGAGGACGGGTCGGCCGACAGGAGCTGAGGGGTCGAGAAAAATCACGACACCGGGAACCAAACCCTTCCCAGCACCGGTCCATCCGTCAGCCTCCATCTTTCCCCTCCTCCTTCACCACGTACCCTCCTCCCCCTCCCCAAAACCGGATCCTAGAGGACACAGTTAGAAAAAAAAAGGAAGAAAAAAAATGTCTGCCTCATATGATGAAAAAATGAAATACTCCTTATTTGAGCACTTTAGACTGCATTATTTTGTTTTTTTATACCGTACTTTTCTCCCTGCCATTGTATTCTTTTAACGTTTTTTTTGTTGTTTATTAGGGGGTTCAAGTGGGACTGAATTAAGAGAAGAGGAACATTTTCATGCAGGATGTCCATTGTGTTTCTTTTCATTTGGGGAGTAGTTTAAATGGAGCATTTGTACAAAGCTAGATTATCTTCCCTTGAATAGGTCAAGCTGGATGATTGAAATTGTCTTACAGTTTATTCAGGAGGCAAGAACAGAGTATCTGTGATTTGTACTGTGTCGCATTTGAATTGCTTCCCTTTCCAGTGCACCGCCATCCATCACACACTGCTGCGATCCATTTCCAATTGATTATTAGCCATGAGGTCGGCCTTGAGGTTAAACAAATATTTTATTTGGGTTATAGACTCTGGCTGCACTGGCTCTCATCTCATGTTTCCCTTTTGCTAAGCTAAATAAGTAAAAAAACATATTCCATATTTGGCAGCTGCCTTAGAGCTTGTGAGTGTTAGGAGAAGGAGCTTGGGCAGGTAGTAAATAGAGCTTTATGCCTCGGTTTTTTTAAGCGTTAGGCCATTGTTAAGTGGGAGAATTGTAGGAAAGATTTAGGGAGGAAAGAGAAAGTTGTACTCGCTGTCACTTCAAACCTTTCCTTGCCTTATTGTCTCTTAATGCCGTCCTATTAGATAACTCTTAGAGGTGCGGGAAAGGTGCCATTCACTGCTACAAATTCCCCAGTTTGTTTCCTGTAATTATAACGGTTTTGATAGACAGCTGTCAGTCAGCCGTTAACTGTCCCATCACCAACCAGTGCATTTACACACAGAATGTTTCTCCTCCTCCAAATGTGACTGTTTTATACTCATCCAAATCCCTTTTTCTTTTCTACTCTTTATGTGCCTGAACCCACAGAAGTTGTACTGATAATCCTGGTAAAATAGCCAGGATAAACCGATTCAAGGGTGCCAGAGTTTGTGCTTTCATAGGGCCTATCCTACCGGTAGAGCCCCTGAAAAGTCGAAAAATGCTCGATATCTTGAAATGTTTTAGAGTTTTTAACTTGTTGTCAAACTGCTTTTTAGTGTCATTCTGTAACTAGGTGCCTAAGGGCTGAGCACTATTGATTTATGCTTGAAAGTAGACATGAGCTAATGTACTTTTGTGCAGTGTTAATGTGTGAGGAATGGGACACGCACAGCAGGCTCCTGTAAAGCACTGCTTACTGTTGTGGACTTAACGTTTTATTTTTTACGTGATCTGGTTTTCATTAAGCCAAGCAACTGATTTCCTGTGTTAGTTCTTGTGTCAACGAGGTCTTGGCCTCCAGTCACCTTCTCTCTGCAGGCTTTTTTCCCCCCATGACTCAACACGGAGTAACAGGCTCACAAAGGGATCAGGGGCCTCTTTACAGAATCTCATCTCGGTTTAGGATGACATGCAAGAAACATGTTTCCTAACTACTTATAGGGATTACAAATACAAACCTGAATTGTAGTATTTACTTTCAGAACTATAGCCTACTAAGTTAGGATGGCATACTCTGTCCTACATGTAAATGAACAGCACTGCTGTCTGTATGACAATGAAAGCAGGGAACGGATCAAATATGATACATGAAAGGCCACTCCAACCAACCTTATGATGACACTTATTTATTAGGAAAACGTGTCTCTTTTTTCCCTCCATGATAGTACGCTAGCTAGCTCTCCCTAGCTAGCTGATGACAGTGATAGAACAAGAGCTAGATAGCCGATGACAAGGGAGAGCAGTTGATATTGTGGATGATCCGTCTTGAGTACATTTTAATCAAAGATTCAGGCAGAATCCAAAGTACAGGTATTAGGATTTCTTAAGACAAGATATTAGATGCGAAAAAAGATGGGACATGGCCATGAATTAAGCTTTTCCAGTGTGATAGTAAGATGCAATCATATGTTTGAAACTTACTTAAGATAGGGCAAGCAGCTAGGATATTTTTCTGTAATGAGGCCCCAGTTACTTTAACTCTGTATACTACTATCACAGACTTCATTTTAGTCAACAGGGTGGTGAAGAGCTACTTGTCGCTATAGCAGCACATAAGAGCTTGCGTTAGCTTTACTGAACCCTGACTCACACACATGCATACTGTAGGCTAGATATACACCACGTCTGTCTGCTTTCATACACACTTTTTAAACTTTCCCTCTGATCTAACTGGAAACGTATAGAAGACAAAGTCTTTCAGTGTTACGCATGGTGTATATGTATTTAAAGAATCCACAGCAGGGGGAATGAAAGCATTCAAATATGTGAAAAGATAGGAACGGGAAATGGAAACTTAATTTCCACGGCAACTTACTCATCACACAACAAGATGTTAGTCAGTCAGGAGTGGGGAATTTGACCCCGACCAGCGACTTTCACATTAATCTACACTATTTCTCTCTGCTGCTTTAGGCGGTAGAGTATGTGGGTGGAGATTTAGGAGGCGAAGTCCAGCACACAAATACAATCTGGCAGCAAACGTAGCTCTTGAGAGAGTTATTGCATGCTGCTTGTATTTTTGTATTTTCCGCGTCACTCCTTCCTTTCAGTTAGTCTTTATCCGTCCCCCCCCCTCCCTGCTTCCCTCCCTTTTTGGCTCTTTTAATGTTTCTGGCTGTTGCCGGGGCGACAGACCCCTCCACTCCTGCAGGGTTCTGTTTTTTTGTTTGTCATGGCAACGCTTGTCAGGTCGGAGGTTGCCATTCGCAACCAGTGCTGACCTGGCGCTATTAGAAACAGCTTTGCGCGCACACACACACACACACACACACACACACACAGCTTTTTATTATTATTATTCTGTGACAGTTCTGCACCATTTCGACATAATCCTGTAGGCCTACTGAGTTGCTTGGAATCCCCTGCTGCTTAAAAAGGAATCGGTTAGAAATAAAAGCACTACAGACTGTAGACGAAACACACACCACTAAACATCAGTTGCTGTGATGCAGCACCCTTGCCTGGAGAATTAGCTTTAAAAAAAACATCCGTCAACACCGGCACCCACTCCCCGTGTCCCATGCCTCCCCAAACGTACACACACTAAAAAAACACACTTATACTCCTTTTAACGCTCTGTCGGCTGGAATGCTTTTCTATGCCATATTATGCTAATTGTATACGAGTGATATGTATGTACGCAACGTGCTGCAGGCTGAGAGGAGCTTCCTTTGTTGATGCTGTTGAACACCTTCTTGCCCCCAAACCCCCTCGCCCCCCTCTGTAAGTCCCCTACCCCTTGTGAAAGTGAAACTGTGTGATGGTATTTGTCTTGGTGGCTGTGGGGTTTCTGGGATGCTTGCTCAGTATGGAAAAAGAGTCAAATCCCATGGATGGTGATGTAAAAAACAAAACAAGATGGACAACAAACAATAAAAAAAATGAGAAAAAGGGAATTCAATCTCTGTTTCTTATGTTTCCGACATAAAAAGCTCCATGTAAAACTCATTAAATATACTTACAAAGTCCATTTCAAGAGTAGGCCTACTAGGGTTCAAGAGTACAGTCCCCGGGCGCTGTACAATAGCTGCCCACTAGACTCCTGGTACTAGGATGGGTTAAAAGCAGAGAACACATTTTACTGTCTGTGCTGTGTGCTCTGCATGTGCATGTGACCATTAAAGAGGGTTTCATCCCTCCCAATATTATTATTATTATTATTACTACCATAAGCATAATCTGTCACTTTTTAAGATTGTTTTTTTGTTAGGTTTTATAGATCATATAAGGAGAGACAAAACAATGGAACTACAGTGTTTTTGGCCCCTGGATGTGCTGTTCGCATGTAAACTAGTACGTCTAAATGTAATTTAGTGTAGAATTCAGATGTTTTGGACGATCTATAAACATACAAACACAAAGCTCTCGATCTGAGCTGTACGGAAGCCCTGAGAGGCCAGTGAGAAGCATTTTTCTTCTGGTGATCCATTTTCTAAGTTTGATCTAAACACTTTTATTTCCTTTGTTTATCACTGAAGAACAGGTAAAAAAAAGGTTTGGCCAGATTAACAGAATTTGTTTTCTTACTTGCCTCAGGGTAGAAACAATCATGATAGGAAGAATATGTAGCAGATGAACAGTGCAGCTTGAAGCCTTAGTATTCTTGAAACAATTTTGAATTTACTTCGTGTGAAATCATACTTTTGTACTTTTGTCTTTTGTTTGAAAAATCCTCAATATAGGCTAAGCAAAAGGCCTGCTAACAGTTAGCTGCCACCTCCAACTGCGGCTTGTAGTGTGACCATGGCAACCACATAAACCAGAGAGGGATGACAGCTGATAAAACTGGAATCTGAGTTCTTGATTGATATACCTCCAAATATCAGAAGAGAAACTGTGTGAGAGCAGCATCTACATCTAACCATCTGGTATGAGACAACAAACAATGTTTAGGATTCTAGTTAGCAACAGACTCATTAATTGCAAAATATTATTATTGTAATGATGACTGCCAGCTGGACAAGACAACCAGGTCCCAACAAGTTGCTAGTTTTAACCACCAGTTTGCAAATGTAGCTTTAAAAACACTGCAACTGGGTGGTAACATCACAGTTTATTACAGCTTACTGCAGTGAGTGAATCAGTACCAGGAGGAAGCATTCAGTGTTTGTACACTAGAGGGCAGTACTGTCATCTTGTTCACTCACCACTTCCTGCTTTTTCTGCCACTGTCTGGAGGAGGGATTTCCTTTTCATACTTCTAATGAATGAAAAATGCTATCAGTTGTTAGATGACACATCTTCTGCTGCACTTACAATTACAGTAATACTCATGTTGGATCAATGCCAAATTTGCCTGAGTTAAAGTGTGGGATAAGTGGTTAGCAACTATTAACCTGCCAGGCGTGCTCCCATGAGCGTTAATGTCAAAATCCCCCGCTAGGTTCCTGCTCTGTCATTAATTGAAACACTTCACAACCTTAAAGGATTCTTGTACTTCAGAGGCTCTTTCATGGGCCTTCCTCAGAGCAGAGTTACAATATATACACTGGATGAATGGACTGTTTGAGATTAAAATGAAAAGTATAATTTATGTTTTCTCTTTCGGCTTCTCTTTTTTCTTTTTGGGTTTTATCCTGGCTTGCAGTGTTCAAAGGAAAGTGGTTAAAGGCCAAATTCTTGTTCTAATGGTGAGTACTCACTGTAGAGGCCAGGGTTCGAATCCGGCCTGCAGCCAAACTAAAAAAACAAAAATCGTTCTCAAGTTCACATGTAATTTCCTTTGGAGAGATCAGCATCATTTGTCATCCATACAATGATTAAATATGCTGTATTTTGTTGTTAATCATGTGTTTTTGTGACACATACTATGTGTATTACCATAGACTGTGTATTACCTTTTGCCAAAGGAGCTCAGTGTCGCACACAGCCCTCTAGTGGCGGTTCATGTCACATTGACACAGTAGGATCCATTGCAAAGCTTTTTTCCATATTCACTTTTTCCATCATCTCACCTTCATGTCAATAGCCTCCACCCATCCATTTTATATTCCCACTTCTCCACATTCAATTTTTCTATCATCCCAAGGCAACTATTCATTATCACATTCATAAATATGGACGGCTTTAAGTCAGATTCAGCTGTGGCTACACATGTAAAGCGTAAAGCGTCTTTAAAGCGTCTTTCTACCCTCCCTCCCAAATGTAAAGCGTCTTTGGGTTCAAGAAAAGCGCTATAGAAATGAAATGTATTATTATTATTATTACATGTTTGACTTCAGGAAGATATAAGGGCCTCAACTGGCTTCAATTTTTAAGGTCTAAACCAGATAGACTAACAGAGGACTAACTGTACGGATACACATGCAAAAACATTGCTGTAAAGTAACAAATTACATGAAACAGGGTTACGTAATTAAATCAAAAATACATGTCACTCATCAATTACAGTTACCAAGAAAAACTATGTAAAACTATTACAGTTACTAATCTAAATGCCAGTGATTAAAAAAGATTAACATCCCAATACAAAATGTATTTTGTTACTCTGTTTCCAATTACAGAAGTTACAACCCCAACAATGAAAGCGGGAGACTGCACGCAACAACAAAGAACAGGAAATAACATTGTTTTAAGGTTCGGTGCAGAAAAGGCAAAAATGTTCATAACTCTAACAAATAAAAAAAGAAGGATCAAAAACATACTGAACTGAACAGCAGGACACAAATATCAACGCTATTAATAAGGAGATTAAGAGGATGCTGAACTGTAAGGACGGCTTAAACGCTCTTAAATTAAATGTGTCCTTACAGTACAGAAACTAATTTTGTCAAAAAAAATAAACAAACTGTGAAGTCAATTACTGCGCTTTGACTGCGGGGCACTGTGGGTCAAACAAACCTCTTTGCGGTGTTAGTGCACCTAATTAGTTTGGGATTTTCTGATTTTGAATACATTGAGGAATCAAAGTCAAAGTTAAGCTTTTAAATACCTGATAACAGAGTTAGAGTTTCTGCACTTCAATCTAAGCCTCCCACACTCTCCTTAACCTTAGCAGTCTGTTGGTCCTGATCCTGTTTAAATTGCGTATAGTTTATGCCTCTTCTGCGATGTCTTTTTTCTGCCAACTGAGGAATGAAAGATGCATTCAGATTTAATACTTTTGCACAATCGCAAGGTCGACTCAAACTTTATTCCCAAGTTGTGAAAAAACATACCGTCAACACTGTGTTTATTTAACCGTAACACTTACAAGCGTCTTGATTTTGTGCGCACCTTCAGACTACATGTGAACACTGACCGGAAGAGTGCACTGACCTTTTCAAGCTGAGTATGGCTTTTAAAAAAAACAGTTCAAACAAGACTTGTTTGTTGCTGCCAGAAGACAAATTGTAGCTATAGTACACACCAGAGCATACATTTTTTCAAACTTCCATTGAAAAAGTATTTTTATGTTATTTAATGAAAATGCAATGTAAAAGCTGTTTATGCATTTTTCAGAAAAGTTGTTTTTGTGTTCAGTCACTGTATGGCACTGACCCTGGACCTGCAGATACAACTTCTGCTTCACTAACAATGCAACAGCTGCAGGATGTGTTCTTTTTTAAAAGATCTGCAAGGACCTTCCCACCCACACAGGTCATTCACCTATTGTGCCTGACGAGACCCCCCCCCCCCCCCCCTCAGGTCTGGAAAAGCTAGGAGTACTTTGAGTTTAGAATAACAAAACTCTGCAAGATGCACATAATCTGTCTCTTAGGGACAATTAGTGAAAACCCCTATGTAGCATTCCTTGAGTAAATTATTATGTTATTTATTTGATTTAACCGGCTTCAGCGAGGTGTCTTTTTGTTGTTGTTGTTCTGGGGGATGTGGACTCTTGTGGACTCGTCTGGCAGAGGTTCGGCGGTTTTCGAAGTACTCTTCCACTTATCTTTGGTGACTTAACTGTAAATGTCCACTTGACATTACATCAGTTGTTTACTGTGTCTCAGTTTGCTTACTTCTGTTTTTCTGAGTGCACCTATAGGTCAAAAAGTCGAGTGTTGAAAGCAGGACACTTCTCACACTCAGACACGGCCATCTTGGCTACGTTAAAGGAGTTTCTGCGCTGAACTCAGCACTCAAAGAATAAAAGTTATACAAAAGGGATTTTAACTATTACATATACTAGGGTGGAAAAAAAACCATCTTGAATTTGTTCAGGTTAATAGAGATGTATGTAGTGATTTGGTACCGCAAACGATAACGTTGCTAGCTAGCTAGTTAGCTAACCGCAACAATCATCAATTCTGTTGAGGGCTCAGCAGATGTGGGCGGTTTGAGACAATGCTATACAGTTCAAATTCACACACTGTGCAGTTGTTCACAGTATACAACATGACAATGTACTAAAGGAAGTAGTTGATTAAATAGTATTGATGAATGCTATTGCAATCAGTATCCATGGCTGGGACGCCTTTCAACTCTTATTGCTGCCCAAGGTGGAAGGGCATTATAGGACTGATAATGTTTCAGGAAAAGAGAAATGTTGTCCTTTTACAATTCTAACTGCTGTCCAATCCATCCAACTGAGTAAATATATAATTGGGAGACAGTTTAAAAGAAATATGACCTGGACCCAAACTTTCAGAAGCACTTTCAATGATAAATCAGGAACCGTAAAATAGACTACTCTGTTCAATTGAACTTCTGCTAGTAAAAAAGAAACTGTCACCTCCAAACGACACAGACAGTAAACAACATAGTGTGGAATTCTGGCGTAAACTTTAATATTAATACCATGAAATGCCTTTGCAAAAATGCTACTTACTTTTAGCACATTTGCACAGACATCACTGCAGATACTTGCAATATGAATAATCTTTGCACATGACATTCATTAACCAGGAGTTGAAGGATTTGGTGCGGTTACTTTCTTAGATTTCTTACGAGTTACTGTTGGGAACATTTCTGAGAGTATCAATAAAATGTAGAATTTATGCTCAGTCCCAAACTCAAGAAAAGACTGTCGGAAGTTTTGTGGAAGTCTTTCAGCTTGATGCACAACTCATTGCAAATAATGAGGCTCCTTTGACTTCCCGACACAGCTTGATTCTTGTCATCTCGCTGCTCTACATTGTTATTAATCATGATCGCCGTTTCGTAATGAAACATCACTTTGCTAAGTTAAACTGCACACGCTTGTCTTTCCAGTAATGGCCGCCTGAAGCCATTTATCATAGCACTGTTTGCCTTAATATGACAGCTGCTGCAGCACTGTTTGACTCTTGTGCTGCTGTTTTGAAAATGAGAGTGGAATTTCCCATATATTATTTATGGGAAATCAGATGCATTCATTCACATAAATAATATATGGAAATATGCTCATTTCAGGTTCATATTGGCATGTTGTGCTTTTTACTCTGGCATGTTTACATGTTTTAATGTTCAAAATGGTCCTCTTACCTGTGCTGCTGCTCACCTCTGTCTGAATCGGAACCCAGTCTTCTTTGATTGGTTAACTGGCCGGCTCTGTTGTGATTGGTACATTTCCTAAAGATGTCCACACGCTTAGCCTGACATGTACAATGTTTTGGAGTTCTATCCAATAGAAGCATCCCAGATAGCAGGCGGATGTGGCCCACTTCAGGCAATGATGCGGTACTGCTCGCCTTCTTCTGGCCCGGACCAAATGGATGTGTGCCTAAAGTGGCCCACGTGTAAAATAGCTAATATGGCCCACATATCCCAAAGCAATTTTGGGCCTTTTTTGGCAAAGATGCGGTGCTCCTGCAATGTGTAATCTGGATGTCACCCTAAAGTGGCCCATATGGGAAATGGTGAATATGGCCCAAATATCACGAAACAACTGTGGGCCACCTTTGGCAAAGATGTGGCAGAATGGACAAAGGCTAATCTGGTTGTAAACCAAAAGTGGCCCATATATGATGAAGCAAATGTGGCCCAGTTATCTTAAAACATATCTGGGCCAGTTTAGGCAAAGATAATCCCAGTAATCCGGATGTGAACCTAAAGTGGCCTACATATGACATGGCAAATATGGCCCAAATACGTGACAAGAAATGTTGACCACTTTTGGCAAATGTAAGGCACAGTCAGCACTGGCTAATCAGAGTGTGAGCCTAAAGTGGCCCACATTTGACCTGAAAAATATGGCCCAAATATTAAAAACACAGACGTGGGTCACTTGTGGTAAGGATGCAGCACAATTGGTATCGGCAAATCTTGATATGAGCCTGAAGTGGCCCACAACTGATGCAGCAAATGTGGCCCGGTTATCTTAAGACATATCTGGGCCACTTTTGGTAAACATACGGCACAGTCAGCACTGGCTAATCTGGATGTGAACAGTATTGGGCCACTTCTGGCGAGGATGCAACACTTTTGGCACAGGCTAATCTAGATGTGAGCCTGAAAAGGCCTACATGGGTGTTATATCACTAAGTTATGGAAGTAAACAAAGGACAACAAGGAGGTGTTTCAGGCAGGTGTGTGGGAGAGATACTCCCTGTGGCGTGAACTTTGTTCATCCTTTGGAGACCATTCACATGCACCTTTATATAAAACACTACATTAGAGGGAAAGCCTCTTAACCAGAGATATCTGGTTCTTACAGGACAGTGAAAAAACTACAAAAATATAATGCATTGCTGTAGATTAAACTTCCACATACATAAAGAAGTTACAATTAAAGTAGTAGTAAAATGCAACATACACATTGATGCAGCTGAATCTCATAGTAAAAGATTGACGGGTAGCATTTTAAATGGAAAATCAATGTTTTTTTATTATGAATGCTTGACTTACCTGTAGTTTTTTTTCTTTTTCTTTTTACAAGTCTTTTTATTTCATTATAGTGTACAATAATCGATGCCATTTCATATATTGTAATATCACAGTACACTCACTACACTCCCCCCTCCCTCCCTCCACCCGCACATGCCCACACTGACGAAACCAAAAACATTTAAAAAAAAAAAAAATGTTTATCAATATAACTTAAACAACAGAGCCATGAAAATAAATAGAAAACGAAAAAAAAAAAAAACGTACCTGTAGTTGAGTGTTTTCAGAGAGTAGTGTTTGTATTTTCATATAAATTAGTCATCTGAATACTAGTGTCCCTGTAGCCATAACATTGTGTTATGCACCATTAGCTTTCAAGGAGAAAGGCAGTGTCTGCTGTGAATTTGAACAAAACTGAAAAAATTATAGAATATGTAAGTGGGTTTGACATTCAAACATGAGAAAGCTGTCCCTGGAGATGCAAATGCGTTTTATGTTCGTTCTCTCAGACGGAGATAATGTGTGGATAATGTGTTTTTAAGCCTTAGCGGTAAATGTCATTGTATTTACTTATATATTACATTCATTGCATTCAGTCATGCCCCGCTAGTGAAAAGTCAACACTTCGCCTTCAGCTACTTGTTGCCTAACGCGGCGTAACATCGAGTCCCTGGCTGTATAATCGCACACAACGAGAGCTGCTGTTATATTTGTCCTTGACAGTCATGAAAACATAAAGTGTGGGGTATGCAGACTTTAAACATACTTGATCCCCCAGAACAACAACATAATACCCCCTTTTTTTTAGCACGACAATGCAAATTAAATGTCACTTTTTATTGTGTCCTTACCTTAGGTGACTATAAAAATAAAAACAAACAGTTTGTCTTCTAAAAACCCTTTCACCACCCTGCACTTCCCAGATAAGCCTATTCAGCTATTCATCCCTGTTATGTCTGAAGGTAGAAAAATGTCTTTTAATCCGAGCACACCAGCTAAGAACAACAAAGGATAATAGATAAGAAGAAACGTTTGACAACTTCTTACAAAAGGATCAGACAACCGGAACATGTTTTGAAACTATTCATCAATGTCATGTTTCTTAATGAAATGCTGCCGTTATCTCGACACTGGACCACACAATGTTTGTTTATGGAATTGTGGGATATGGTGGGCTTGCTAATTAATATAATTACTTACTTTTCAATAAAGACGGCGTGGGTGGGCAGACAAGAAGCTTTCATAAGGTATAATGCAGTAAAATCCTTGGCAATGAAAACTATCTTTTCAATAGCTTTTTGAAAGTCTATGTGGGTATTCTTCACTTTTATTGAAGGTTACATTGATACATCTTTATAGCTTCTATTGCAGCAGTAAATTATTCAAAGCCAATTACCGTTTTCATGATGTGAACTGAATACCAACAACCTCACAGCAATGTCGCTTCATTAAGATGCAACAAATGGACATTTATTTAAGCCTTGGAAGCTAAAATGCCAACATTTAAAAAGTAAGAGTCTGTATGTGTCTACTTGTAATGATTAAAAACCCACCATCTGTGCAATGCTACAGACATATTATTTTGACCTTTTTAAACTGTGTTTTTTATATTTCGTTTTAAATCATGCCCCAATATTGTAATCTACTAAGGACAATTACAGATGCAGGCTATGTGAACAATTCAGCTATATAAATATATAGATATATATAAATGACAGCTGAAAAAACGTCATGCTTATATTTCTTTAAACAAATATTCAAATTTGTATTATTCACTATGGCTTTCTTTTTTTAACTTAAAGACCCTTTTATGCTTTTTGGGGCTTTCCCTTTCCTGTAGTGTGTAAATGGTCTGCAATGGCTACAATCCCAAAGAGGGAGTTTCTCTCCCACACCCTGCCAGACACACCTCCATATGACCCCTTTATTTCTAGTAACATAGTGACATCACTATGTAACACTCATGATACTATTGGCTGGCACTCGAACACATTGACCATGATAGGCTAGGGGGCGGGACATCTCTAAGCAATTGACCAATCAAAACAGACCCAGCCAGCTAACCAATCAGAGAAGACTGGCCTCTGGTTTCAGACAGAGGGGGAAAAAAAGATGCTATTTTTTCTTTTAATGTTTCTTTTATTGTCTTTTTTTAAAATGCCTTTGTCTGAATGTCTTTCATTTTTGTAAAGCACCTTGAATTGCCTTGTGTTGAAAGGTGATAAATAAACTTGCCATGCCTTGCTTGTACAGTATGTCACAAAATACAAATATTATCCAGAAAATCAGCCTAATAAACATTTAAAGCTGATCATCTATTGTCTTTTATTGGCTAATTGACGTTTTAATGTTGCATTTATATTTTCCTAAACACTTTGAGCTATCTCTTATATTAGGTGCTCTATAAATAAACTGTATTTTTAATTATTAAACTGACTGTAAAAATTGAGCAGTTAAGGAGCCTGTTAATTCCCTCCAGGAATTGCTAGCAATTAAAAGATAAAGTAAAGGTTGGGCGGAAACAAACACAACTCAAATGTGACTATTATGTTGCTCTGTGTCTCCTGGATGCCTGTAAGTAGATAATTGTTTGTTTATACGTTAGTCATGACAGCTAATTTGATAATAGTCAGGGCTGTCTGTCAGCTCAAATACAGATGTCAGTTAAAGAAATACAATATGTTTGCCTGAGGAAAACGAAACTGCACGGGCAGAAAACCAGTACTCAAAGATCCAGAGAAAACTATCTGACACCTCTTCATTTATTCAACAACACCACAAGCTAAGATGTCAAACATAAAAAGTTGATTCAACACACTTTGATAAAACCGCAACAAAAAAAGAACATTGAAAGCTTCAGAGGGGCACAACGAAGGGCTTTTGTTGCTTCTGCAAACCGTTATTCATACCACACTCAAAGATCTACTCCTGTTTCTCTTCAGTCCGACGATTCATACGGTTTTTTCTTTTCTGTGACAGGTATTATTACATCGAATCCTGCAGGTGTTTTGTCCCTTTAGAAACACAAAGGACACATATATAATACACACAATCTTTCACCAGATTACACCTTTTAAGAGCTGTCAGTGAATGCCATGATTCATGAGTATCTGGTCCTTAAGGACTTCTGTGCATTCTGAATAAATACCACTAAAGTTTAAAGAAATGTCTCTACAGTTATTGTACAATGGCAAGTGCAGAAATTATGAAATGTTTTTTTCCAAAAGTATCTTGCTGTAAGTCTTTCTCCAGTCTTCTTGTTGGTTTGATCCCGTGTTGACACTGGAGAGCACTATGAGGGCAGAATGCTGTTGATGAATCTGTACAAAACATGTTTTCATTCACTTTCTAAAATCCTATTTCCTTTGACACATAAGGTCTTAAGGCAACAGTTATCGTCTACCAGTGCTTGAGGTATGTCACATTATGACCTAGTCCTGCCCTCTATGTCTCTGAGAAATTTGAATATACATGCAAAAGTTGTACAGAAGTTTTTCCAGAAGGCAAACCAAATATTGAATTCCCAAAGATCCCGGCATTGCATCAGCGGGCCAATCAAACAGCTTCTCCTGCCACACTGAGAGAAAGGCGTAAGACCTTGGCCGATCTGTGACTGCAGGGGTTCTGGGGCACCGGCGTTTGGCTCGCTGAGAAACACCACGCCTTCAGGAGACTCTTACTCTGGATTTGCGCGCTTTGATCCGGACCAGCGACTGATGACGAGGAGGTCGACAGTGCCCTGCAGCAGCCCCATGAGGAAGCATTGACGCGGTCTTGGCACGAGACATCAGCGTTGCGGGACGGGTGGTGTGGACTGGAGGAGTGGGGGGCGACGTGTCCTTGTGGTTTGACCGCAGGCGCCCCAGTTCGAAGGCAGCGACCACGGAGCACGTTTTGGAAAGCTTTCTTGAACTCCCGGCTGAAGCAGGGGTAGATGATGGGGTTAAGGCAGCTGTTCAGGTAGCCAAGCCAGAAGGTGATCTTAAAGATGGTTTCAGAAGGCTTACAGGACGGGAAGATGGATCCTAGAGTAAGCAAATAAAGAGACACGAATCAAATAAGGAAGCAAGCACACTAATACACCACTATTCTTTAAGATTAACCCCTAACCCTAATATGCACTTGGGCAGTCAATACCTCCATTTAAGCTCAACAACTAGCACAGAATGCTAGTAAATTGTCCGTCGTTCACTTCTTTCCAGACATATTTCCTTTTCCCCTTGTACAAACAGGCTCCTAAGGGTTAATTATTTTTCAAAATCTCACACTCAAGAACATTTACTATTGTTTTGCGCTGATAGGCAATTCATTTCCATCCATCCAACAGATGCTCTTAAACTTACCCACCTTTCCCCATTGCCCTACCCATCTACACATCTGTTCCCACCTTCTAAATCAGCACTGCAGTTGCCATGGATTCCCCCCCCTCGCCTGCATGTCATTACCTCATCAGCCTCTCAGTGCTATTAATTCCTGTCCAGTTCGTCCACATTTGGTGTCTCTTTCTTGCCCTGTGTTTTTTCTTTGAAACTTCTTTAACCGAAACATGGAATCTGCACCTGCCTTCCTGAAAGTCTACATTTACCCTTTTCCTTCATATCTTCATAAAACGCAGTATGGCGACTGAGGTGTACTTTTAGCCATATACGGTTTTTCATGATTTGGGTCCCTTGGTTCTAATTAAGAGAAATCGTTCAATAATCAATGTTCATTTAGCTTGGCGTGTTTCTAACTGTGTGGCAGCAGTTTGTGTTTTGCCTTTACCTGATTCAACATGACATTAGCCCAAAAATACTAGTCGTTTTTTGTTCACCATTTTGTAGTTGGAAAAACTGAGCACATTTATTTTTATTTGATTTATTTTATCTTTATTTAACCAGGATAGGTCTCATTGAGATTAAAAATATCTTTTTCAAGAGAGTCCTGGCTCAAGAATGGTAACAGCACAGTTTCAGACAGTTTTACAGTTAAAGACAATAACACATTTTTTTTACATTTACAAGAATAAGCTCAATACCTTCGGGTTAACTTGCATAAACCAATGTCCAAAAGCTACGCTTACTTGCATAATGCTTCACAGTGCCTATATGGTGCCATTGCACAGCACACATCACATTCTTTTCTGAATTTGGTATGCATACTGTAATGCCAGCGTTGTTACGGTGGCTGAAAAGCATTCCTGGCGGTCACTATAGTGCTTCACCACAAAACAGGCTTTCTTTCTGAAGTGCTCCGGAGGAATAATAAAAAATTCAGTATTGTTTTCCTCAACAGCCGTCTGGGAATCTCAGACCATCATTGCCTCAAAGCTTGAATGCTCACTGTGCTATGAGCCATGAAGGTCTGTCTCAATTGAAATGCATAACTATTCTCCGATGACTGGCTGCCTTGGGAGACTACAGGGTGACTGAGGATGCCTCCTAGCATTACAGCCCATTAAGCCTGGTGCTTGTAATCTATAATAGCTTTCATAGGAGGCGGCTACAGTTTGTTTCATTCCATTTCATCTCACAGTAGGAGCCCATTCGGCCCCATTGTGGTGTCTTATTTGGTCTATTTGGTTGCTTGTAATTTAATTTCTTGATGTCCCTTGTAAAGATATTCATGCAGTAGTGTCGAGGGACAGCGGGGAAGTAGCAAGGCCTTGCCTGAGGTTGTGTTCATGGTGCAAAACCTATCAAGAAATATGATACAAATGACTCAACAGCTTTTGTATCGCAATGGCTACAATGCCAAGCCATTGGTGGGATAGTGTTAGATCTACATTAAAATGGCTCAGGCTATATTTTTAGCCATGGACACAATGTTGGTATGTAAGATCATCTGTCACTCAAATAGTCAGTTGGTCAGCGTGCCACTTTGGGTCAGACTGAAATAGCTTGAAAACATTTGGATGGATTGCCATGAAAACTTGTTGTTGTTAGTCATGGTCCCATGGGGAAGGATACTGACACTTCATAATCCCCTGACATTTCCTATAGCGCCACCACAACGTTGGCATTTCTGTTTGTTTTGTCAATAAACAGTCTGAAAATAATGAAAAAAATCCCATTTGTTTCCTAGAATACCAGGGAACATCTTTAAATTGCTCAATTTGTCCAACCAACAGACCAAAACTTGGGATTATTCAATTGTATATCACAGTGAAAAGCAGAAAATTGTCGCAACTGATAAACGTTCTGTCAAACGGATAACTAATTAAAACACCTCTTCTCACAGCAGACGTGTTGACTTGTCATGGGAAAGCACAGGTGTTTTTTTTAATAACATTAATCATAGCTAATTATGGCAGTGCTATTCGAGGGCCAGAGTAAGCCATCACAGTGTGGCCAGTAAACACAATACCAGGACCCATCAACACAGCAGCTATATTCAGCCATCATTCATTTTATTATTTACACCTGTGTTTTTCCTATTGTGACATTTCAAAAGAGCTTCTGTTTAAAGTGTTTATTTACATGTTTTAGCACTACTGGAGTAAATAGCCATGAAAGTTAAGTCAAAACCATTATTACTTAAATATAGTTATTGTGTTCAGACATTTTAATACATTTCCTACAGACAATACATCCCCGTTTTTGGCAGAGTATCCCTTTTGTTTACAGTTGGATTCCGTATTTGGCCTTTCATACATTCACTTATGAATGTTCACAAATCAAGGATAAAAGGTAATGTATATCACTTGTCTACATCTCCTCCATCATGTTCAATGCGATTACAGTTTGTGTAACACTAACAAAACACACATTTCAGAAATAATCTCACCATCTGCGACCTGGGCTGATAGACTATTACCCTTTAAATACACACAGGTCCACACTGACAATCACTTATCGCAGGCTAGCCGTAAGAGTTATTTCAGAAACAATTAAGATTCAAGATTAGTTTTTACAATGGTCGGTTTCTAGCCTCTCTTACATTTATGATAACATCGCTGTTATCGCCTTCTTTGAAAGAGTCTGACAACATGTAGGTGTAATTTATAGATGATAGTTAAGAATATCGAGCTTAGTAGACATTTACCTTTCCCTGAGCTCTTGGTATTGGCAACCAAAGCTCCGACATGGAGTTTTGATACAATGGTGGACTAATCCTTAATTAGTTCATTTCTGTCCTGTGTTGCTTCTGCTGAATTTAAATTAACAGAATAAAGCAGGCCTCTACAATAAATCATCAGAGCCCTCATTATGGACTCAATTAATGTCTGAAACATTTAAATACCATTTATATTCAGAAAATACCTTATTTCCATTTGCAGACACATGCAGCAAATCAAATCCAACAAGTTAGTTTCCATTTTTCTTACTGATTACATTCTCCTTGCATTCAAGTCAATGAGCTACCATAAAGACTTGTTTTTCTGAACAATGCAGTCCTTCCAAAAACCCAGAAGGTTGTTTGACAATGATGTTGTTTAAAGTATATCCAAAATCCTCAAATCTTATTCTATCCATCTGGAACAGCCAATGAGACTTTATCCATATTTGCATATTTTTGTGTAGGTACATTCATCCTAAAGAAAAGCCGCTTTTTAAATGTCCTCTCTGGTAGTTTCATCTTTGTAGCACCTGAATCCACACCCACTACTCTTCTATATCACTGCAGTAGGGTTTTGTTGTGTATTATTACAATTAAAACAGATTTGTTTCCAATAATCAAATTGTCTGTTTTGTTGATGTGTCTTACAAAATGAGCAGATAAATGTGCGACTGTCGACTAAGGACTTTTATTTTGTTATAATGAACATGATTGAGATTCCAATTACAGTGTACATGTTGACAATGTGATAGGAGTTTTTCATAGTAATACACCTGCAGAGATTGATCAACTGATTGATCAAATCTGCTTTGGCTAAACAACATTAAAGAAATGACTCTACTCTCCAGTCTTCCCTTTCAACGCTCTCATGGTGCTGTTTTAGATACAGGAATCTGTTTTCACTAAAAAAGCACTAAAATGTCTTGCTCACCTGTTTTAACAGCTCATTAAATGGCAATTATCACTCTTGTGGTGCTTCAGACTGATCAATGGCCAAATGGCGTCTTTGCATATAATGTCAAACAGTCACAAATGTAAAACGTTTTTAAAATTGTGAATTAAAACAAAAACCCAGTTTGTTAATTTTAGAAGAAGATGAATGATTGATCGCATTTAGAAACGTGTCTAGGTAAATATCTTTGTTTGTTGAGTGAGGTGAGTTTTTATTTTTTTTAAATACTTACGTACCTCACTTGCAACAAGTCAGTGTCACTAATTGTAATCCTTTGCTCCTGACGTAAACACTAAGCGGTCTCCGCCTAACAATTTTGCACCTCCCTGCAGTTATCTAGCTTACCAAGAAATAACAGCATACAGTACTGAGCCAATTGGTTTCAAAAGGCCATCAAATCTGACCCCCAATAACATCTGATAACCATAATTCAATCGACGGATAACATGCAAAGGACCTGTTCAGTATCAGGAAAGACATTGTTAGTGGGTAGATGGTTATCAAAGTGGATTATTTAGCAGTTTAAGAGAATTATATACTTCCTCAGCAGTTAGTGAAGATTGTAAAATGAATTGCTGGTGTTGTAATTCAATAACGAAAAGTTGTAATAACTGCAGACAAACTATAGTTTGATAAAGGAAAATGTGTTAAATGACCTACTTTGTTTTTAAAAGATGTATATTTTTTAGAAGAATCTTCACTTTGTGACTTGAATATAATAAGACAGGTAATGTCACATTTCAGGCAAAAGCATGTTGGTGTAGTTTACATTTTGTAAGCTATTCTCTTATTGTCTTAGTCTTCTTTTACACTACCATTTAGTTCTCAAAATAGAATTGTCACATATTGCATATTAATCTAGTCCCATGTGTTTGACGTCAGTGTTGACTTGTCATCATAGCCTTTAGTCCTGGGGGAAAAAGGTTATTTAAGACTAAGTCACAGTTCATTAATGACATAATCCCGGGTTAAGAGGTACCTACCAATGGGTAATACCAGGAAAAAAGGAAGCCAGCACAGAATGAAACACCCGACAACGATGCCAAGAGTCTTGGCTGCCTTCTCTTCTCTTGAGAACCTAAGCATCTTCGGCAGGGAAAAGGTGGTGCGTTTGCGTGCCACGGTCCCTTTGTTTTCCTCTTGCTTCTCAGTCTGAGCAGCGTTCCCTCTGTGAATCCTCAGCGTCACCCCTTCTGCCTCAACCCCTTCTCCCGTACCGCTCTTCCGGAGGGTTGCGTTCTTTCTCTTTGCCACAGTGTACACACGGCAGTACATGGCCAGGATGATGGCTAGAGGGATGTAGAAAGATCCTAGCGCCGAGAACAAAGCATAGACGGGTTCCTCCGTGATCCGGCACACTGTCTCGTCTTCTGGCTCCGGTTCCTTCCAGCCGAACAGAGGGCCCACAGATATAGCCGCAGAGAGAACCCAGAGAGCAGCCACCGCCGTCAGGCCTCGGCGACCCGTAGCGATGGCAGGGTAGCGCAGAGGATAGCTAACTGCCAGGTAGCGGTCGATGGAGATCACACAGAGGCTGAGGATGGAGGCGGTGCAGCAGAGGACGTCCAGAGCGGCCCAGACGCTGCAGAAGAAGCGGCCAAACACCCATCTTCCAAGAGCCTCCGAGGTGGCAGAGAAGGGCATCACAGCCGAGCTCAGCAGCAGGTCTGCGGCGGCCAGATTGGCGATAAAGTAGTGCGTCACAGAGCGCCAGTGGTGGTGGAACAACACCGACAGGATGACAAGGATGTTGCCAAGGACCCCAAACACGATAAACACCAACAGAACCATCCCCAGAACCACCATCTTGGCTACTTCCACTTCATGTTGGGAGGATGAGCTGCAGTTGGGACATCGATCTGCTGCAGGAAAAACACTGGAGTTCTCAGCGGGGTCCATTGTAAACTGTTGGGTGCATCACGTTTCTAAATGCCTTGAAGAGCGATAACACTCATGACACATCTGTTACTCTAATTAGTACAGCTACATCCCTTTTTCTGCTCCTCCTGATGCAGAGGATGAAAGCCTCCCTGCCGCATAACCTGCTCTTCCAGTTCATAAGTAAATGAGGTGACACTTGACAACGATCCACCAATCACAGAGTTCCTTGGCAGAAAGTCAGAGAGAGGGACACTGCCATGGGTTGTCTAATTGTGTCCATAATTAAAGTACAGTCTAATGGAAATGACAAATATTCAATTTCTCAGAGGCGGCCACTGATGGATTTGGAATGTCATGTTCTGTCATGCTGAAAGGCTTTCTTGAAGCAAACCTTTTAGAAACAAGAAAAGAGATAACAAATAAGTATAGTTAACAAAACATTAGTTACCCAATGATTATTTTAATACCCACACAAGGCTCATCACCCTTTTAAGAGCTGGTATTTATTCATCAGTGCGGGAACTAATCAAAACTTCACACATAGAATGTAAGACATTAAAGGTAAATGGAAAAAAAGTAATTATACAGCACTCGGATATGATTAAAGAGTAAAAATATCTTTTAATAGTCTCTTTTCAGAGGAAACAGTCCGTCTATTCTTCCCTCGTTGCATTAGAGAAAATGTAGTATTCTGCTTGAATAAACTAAGTTGCAGTCACAATTTCCTTTTCACCCAGAAAACATTGCAGCCACCTTGTCTTTTTGAGTCTGCAAGCTAAAAGTAAAAACATCCCATTACTCATACCTGATTTGTGTTTAACCTCTCAATTAACCAGGCATATCGATTATCTATTTAATAGAGCCGGTGAGCAGTGGGGTAGGGCGGCTATTATAATAGAAAACATAAAAAAAGGAGACATAATCAAAAAAAACAACAACAGGAGATAAAGACAAGGACACCACAGCGCCAATTACGATCCACGGGGGAATAAAGAAAATCATCCGTGGTATTATAAGAGAACCAGCCAGCCATGCGGGTAATAAAAAAATAAATGAAAGCAGAGATTACAAAAAATGTTTTAAGAGCAGACGTTCAGACGGGGCCTGAGATGGCTTCCTTGAAGGTCTTGTGATTGCAAGCTGGGCTCTTACTCAACGGTGGATGACAGGCCAGGAATTGAACCTTGAGGTGGGCTCTATATTACCGAGGGGAAGGCTCTGGCCTGCTGATAGTCCCACTCAGTGGCACTCTCCGTGTACGTGTTGGAGAGCTGGGATGTCACTGACTGAGATAAACAGCGGCTAGAGGAAGAATGTAGAAGAAGCTGCGATAAAGCTCGTCACGTGTTTCTGCAAGATCAAAGGCTTCATCCCACCATGAGGCGGAACGAAAATCCATCCAAACAAACACTTGATGCCGCGATTTCCAGCATCAGTAGCCTGAGGGGAAATGGAATTCAAACAGGCGCTGAATGCATATCTCAGATGGTTTCTGCAGGATGGCTAAACGTATGTGAAACTCGGATGGCCTTTTTGAATGTAATGAGATTTCATGGTGCGGTGAAGTGCCGGTGTAAAATGAAAAACCCCCATTGAAAACACAGCCCCGCTGTTTTTGTGGGCTATTGTGACAAGAGATATAAGTCTTTCATATGTTCGAACCAACACATTAGGCGCATTCACACCGCAGTACTTTTCCCACAAAGGTTCATGAGAACTTAGTTCATGAGAACTCTTTAGTTCTCATGAACTAAGTACAGATCGCGTTCACACCGGAATAAGTTCCCTGAGGGAAGATTACACAAATGAAGCCGCTGACGTCACTTCTTCTTCTGCTTTGGGTTTACTGGCAGGCCGCAAACAACTTCACGGCGTATACTGCCACCCGAAGTCCCCGACCCGGAAGTCCCCCGGAGTTGGGGCCTGGCTTCAGTAGAAGCTGCTGGGA